GATATGGCTAGGAGTCTTTAATGGTCGTAAACTGTCATCTTTCCTGTCTTCTCATATTCTTCATCCAAATGGGCAACGAAAACCGGCGCACGATAGTGCATGGTTGTACAAACTGAACTTCGACTGTTGCTCGCACGTCCTCTTTTTAATCTAGTATCACCCGCCGNCCCGCCGTTTCAATACCGCCAGTGAAAACGTGCTTCGTCATAATGTAAAACACGAATTGTGAATTTAATCGGTCGAATAGAGACATATGACCACGGTAAATGTCGGTTGCGGTCGCCCAGGTGGTTTGTTGGCTAAACCACCCAGGTTCCGTTTTGCCGCTGATCCCAAGAGTGCCTCTTGCATGTGCACTGGCCTTCTCTAAAGTTTCGTCTTCTTTACCATGTTTTTTTGACAGTCCATTCTCAGCTGGCACTCCTTCACATACATTCATAGATGAGCTCATTATGTCCCATCCCTCTTCTTGATCTGCCACTATCTCCAGGATTAGCCATAACTTCTCCTTTCTCAGCTTCTTTTATCTGTGTTCTGGGACTTTTATCATTCACAAGCATTATATCTATACTAGTCTCTGGTTAGAGGTCCCACTACCATGTTGTCACAACCATCCACGACGTCTGTTTCTTTTATCACTGCCTGCTTCGCTTTACGCTTGTCGAAATGCATTACCATTCTCACATTAAACTGGCTTAGGAGTACAGAAAGCCATCCGAATAATTAAAAAGCTATGTTTAGTATGTTACTGTACATGTAACCTATACCAGCTTACTTCCTCGCTTGGCACATACGGTCGCCCTCCGTTTGTGTGCCAAATTCTTCCTCACTTCCAAACACCCCTAACATTGCATACCCAAAGTTCACCCAAACGTGCATGCCGAAGCGCTGTTTCATGAAGCACTACTTTCTCACCGGGCTGAATGTAGTCAAACATCCTGTGAGTGACCAAAATTTAATATGTAGCTTGCAGTCGAAACATCACAGCCAAATCATCACTTCTCACATCCGTTTTAGTTAGTACTTTTGGTTTTGTTCAAATAAACTTGACTCCTATGCAACCGAGATTTTGATTCCACTTCGTTATTTGTTGAGTGATCAAAATTTGTCAGATTAAAATCCGTTGAAAGTTGTTTTAAATATGTTCATTATTGGTGGCATCGATATTCTGCATACTTTGGGAAGCGGTACTACCACATCTGGCAACGTAACTCGCAGTGGTTCAGATCTAAGGGCAAATTTTTCAATGGCCAAGTTCAAATTCCATGTATTCAAGTTACCATCAGCAAATGGTTGATAGATTCAGAAAGTTGTTGTACGGATAACAGTCTACACCATACATGGCTTGATGTGTAACCCTAGTTCCATTGCATTAAGATCGTTCATTCAATATATTCAAGTATATCGAACCATCATCATGATTCCATCATTGAAAACTGTTTACTACATGTCACCGAAACTGTGCCGACCTAATGCAGAATTACCGGAAGGCATTCAGAACACAACTGTTTCCCAGTTGTATGGAAAATGCCACGGAGCGGAGCACCCCAAACATATTTCTGAGACCGGTTATATTTTGAAGTTGTCCCACAGATTAACTAGCAAAACAAAAAATCTGTGACTCTCCGAACCATAAACACTGCTTGTGAGAATAAACGTTAGGTCGGTACAAAGTTTCTCATGCTCACATTCACGTCTGGGCATGGTGACCGACTTATCGATCCATCTTGACGTAATTCGCTTCCTTACCCGACCGACAGAGGTCAGTTAACTCCGGGTTCATTCATTCGTATCTATGACGCACACTCGATCAACAATCAGGAACATGCCGTTACCGGGTGTGTGGGCGGAGGGAGAACGGCCCACCTCATCACACCGGAACATTCATCCTCGCTCGGTAACTCACTCAAAAAGTACTTTTGTTTGTTTACCGAGAAGTTAGTTTATTCGGACTGGAGAGGGTTTAGACAGACCCGGTCCAATCGGTGACATTTAACGGCCAAAACACCAATCAGCTTGTCGGGGTTTCCAATGGAGCGCGATTGGTTGGTATCACATGAAGTTACGATGGGTTCACTGGAAGTTACGACAGTTTCACTTGAAGTTGAAAGGGTCTGAATGAACTACGACCGGTAAGGGTTACTTTACTGACTGACTGTTATGGTATGCATCAGTGTCAGCAACGGGGATGTTTTTCTTTTAATTTTTACCTTATTTGAATATACGATACAATTTTCAAGAAGTGGGAAAACAAAGAACTGCGATGGAGTGAGTTCGTGATCAACGCAAGTTCATTGCAGTTTTGGTAGGATATGTTACGTATTTAAAAATTCGAAGGAGGTCGCGATGTTCCAGGCCTACGTGATGACGCCTGCCCTGGAGTGGCGCGTTACAGTTTCTGGACATTTGCGATCAATCAAATTCGAAAGATGACGTCAATGACACGCGCATGGTTTCTGACTTCACGTCATTTGCGGATCGCGTCAGCCAATCCGAGGCAGTGCAGACAGAAGCAGAATTGCAATCCGATTGGTGGAAGCCTAGATAATTAATAATCTTCCTTTATACATATCATTTAATCGCGTTCATTTTTTCCAATAAACTAACTGCGTACTACTATTTCTGTGGCCTTTTCCTCGCGTCTCGTTCACCTGGGATATTGCGAGCTCGTACCATTGCGGTCCAGTGCTTCCGTAATCCAGTCCGTGACAGCTATTCCTTGATTCGTGTCCGGTGATTCCTACTGCGTGGCTTGCATTCCGAGTTCCGTACGTACTACTACTACAATCATTACAGAGGTACACGACGCTTTGAACACATTCCGAACAGAAAAGATCATTCAGTATTCGCCAAGACGGTTTCCGCCCATAGCGCTTCACAGGTGACCTGGTCTCTCAATAGTGGTTGGTCTGACTGGAAACCCGCTGTCTCATTAGACATCTTGAAGAATCTTCAGTTGGGCTTGTTCCGAATTTTACGAGCGCAACATCCTTTAATGGCGATTGTTCTATCATTTGTCTTTGTTTTCAGCGATCGCACCAATTCTAAGTTGATGCGTAAACCTCTCGGCTGTTTTTCATGAGTGCCGCTGTCCCTCAGGGTTCCGTGCATTTATTCACCATTTTCCTTATCTCTGCTAACTACTTGCTTCTTCAACTTCCACCCCGATTCAAGATTATGCCAAAGATGCCGTTTAATAAGGTCTCTTTGCCCTTCCGCTCAGCTGTCGGCTTTCAAAGTTCTGAATTGTAACATATCTTCACCGGAATCATAAGACAGTTCGCATTGTCCATAAAATTTCACTAATGTCAGACTTGTGGTCAGCACGGTACCATCGGACACGCACTGCATTGTTTTTCTCATTCCATTACTAATTTGGTTTCTGGTCCTCCGAAGTTGCTTCACCTAACCCAATCTGTAGATCAGATCTAGGTACACCTTCAAGTGCTTGTTGCAAATGATCAAAAATCTGGACTACAACTATTCCTTTTACCAAATAAGCTGAGTTTCCAAACCCTCTATTTTTGTTTGCACCCAATAATTGCAAAGGTTAACGTGGAAAATCAACTAACAGAATTCATTGCNGAATGATTCCGATCATGGTGTGTTAGCTTTTGTTACTGTTAATCAGAATTGATGCGCATCTTTAAATCACCGGGCGGCATGCATAAAATTCTTTGTGTTTTAGATGTATAGACATCATCATTCAATTGGTAAAAAGTACCTGAAAAGAGCCCTTCCGTTTTTGGGTAATCGAGAAACCAACCATATCCGAAGGTATTACAGCTTATCTGTACCCCACGTCCCATGGTCCACCTATCGTTTAACAACAGGGTATCATTTGACATTGAAGTCAGTTTCGCAATGACGCGAAGCGAGACATGATGGTGATCCGAGTACTTGACGAACAAGTTTCGTGTGGGTAACTTAGTAACGACTGAATCAATGGCTGGTTCACCGTAAGATATTCCGCGATCGTAATTCTGTGCTTGGAATTAGGCCGAGGTTGAGCGCGTTAAGTAAGTGGTAGCGAGAGCGCGGCTGCACTGACACGAAACATATTTTTCTTATTTCTCTGTTGATACATACAACATCCGGCAGGTTATACTTTGAAATGAGCATTACTTTATTATAAAATACAGCCGCTAATTCTAGGTTACGTGGATGATTCTGTCCAGAACATCCAATCAGTGTGTTTGTTACATACTGAGCATAGAGATGCGTGTGCATGGAACGGAGAGTGTGATGTGTACACACCTAGGATGGTGCATCAAATCTGGATTTTAGCTACTCAAGACACAGGAATTCACTTGTTCCGAATTGATGACTACACTTTACAGGCCAAGGCAAGTTCTTCTGGTATTTGCAATAAATTATTAACGTCGTCAGTCGTTCACGGATGACGTTAAAAAGGGAACGAGTAGAGCTTTCAAATGGTGGCCCTTTCTCCTGTGAGCAATTAACGTATGGTTTTCTAAAATGAGCAAAATACGAAATTACTCAGTAAAACTACTAGTGATCTTAAATGCCTGAGTAAACAATGGTTTGATAGGGGAAACCCGGAAAACCTCAAGGTTAAAAAGCGAGCAATTTTCAAGGTAAGAGCACGGATCAAGCAAACGCTACACTAGTTGAGACTAACTGTTGTTCCTTGCACTAATTCTTATTTGTGTGTATTTGCAAAATGAACCACAGTAAGGTTTGTTTACGATGAGTAGCGGTTAAGATTCACTGAAAGGAAGAGAGATTGGGCAGGGTTGTGGGCGNAAAGGGGGGGGGGCAATGAGTAAGGATCCAAATCCAGCCATAGAAAAGATGAAGCTTTGATCGAAAGTATTATCACAGCAGTTGTACGGCCAAGACTGGGTTTGAGACGAGCGCCTGTGCGCTTCATACAAACATGCTATTTACATCCGTCAAATTGAAATCTGAATTCAAACAAAACACAAGAGTAATTTCATTCAGTACCAGAGCACACGAGAAGGCGAACTAATAAAAGGTTAGGACAATTGTGGATCTGCACCAGTAGGATTGGGTGATGATGACGATGAGGATTTGTTCGAAACAGATGACGGCGAGGCACCGATGGGATGATTTACTTCATCGGGTGGAGGTAATATTGTGAACTTCGGGGACTGCAGGGCAGAAGCTATCGGCTGTTGGAGCAAAGGCTGA